TACATCTTATTTCTAATTCTCCACTTCCAAAAAATGAATGGAAAAAATTTTACTGATACCTGTTTAAAACAGCAACAAAAGCAAATTATTTGGCTTGTCCAAAGAAAATAATAAAGCCATTAATCCATCATTTTATTTAAAAGATAGTCATCAAGACAGTAGATTAATAATGATTTCATCCTATCACTGAACAGCAGGTTAAAGCAGCAAACTTTACACTAGTTATAATATACACAAGTTAGAGCACAAGTCTTAAATAGAATTTTAATCAGAATACAGTAAGAATTTTCTAATTATGTTGCTAATTATCAATAAAGACATTACTAGTGACTCTCTTTTTCAGATTAACAAGTATGTATCTTTCAGTCTTCACCTGGCTTGACCCTTCTGTAGCTTCTTCCCCTGTCAAGAAAGCAACACCGTTGTATGGAGGATCAGTAAGAAATTCAGGGTTTGTTTTGGCTTCAGTTGAGGTGACTCATGAGACACTGCTCTAACCTTACTGGAGTTAAAAGATTAAGTAAGCCAATGGTTGTTCAGCAGAAATTGTAATATAAAAGGCCTGGAAAGTGCTAGGAGTCAAGTTATGTTTTTCCAGTAATTTCATTTAAAATATATTGGGACTCCTTCGATGCATGGTAAAAGCAACTCCCACTTGACGACTCACCTCTTAAGGCATCCCTACTGCTTCCTCAACACAGCCCCCTTTTTAAGGTGTAGAAAATGAATCCCAGTGTCTTACTCAGCACTTTGCAAGAACCCATATACTTACATTAAAAATTGTTTTCATGACAGTAATGAAAATGATTAATCAGGAGAAACAATTCATTGAGTTTGGAACTTAACTACATTAATTTTCAGTTTCATTCCTTAAAACTAATACTTGTCGCAAGTGGATTAACATTTCCATGATTAAAAAAAGAAAAACTACCTCTGGCTTCAGTATAGGTTTTCCATTCTCATTAATAGTACATACAGTGCTGCATACCTCAAGTGTACTAAGCTAAAAGGAACAGGCCCTGATAGCTGCTGCAGCATCTTATATGGCCACTGGCTGCTCTGGAAGCTTTTAAAAGCTTTTTTTTTTTCCACTTTGTTTTTTGAGTTTTGCCCAGTCCCTGAAAGGAGCCATGGTGATTGTGCTCTCTATCTGTCCAAAGAAGCAGGCCTGATTATTAATAAAAGCTTCAGTTATAGCCACTCCTCTTGTGGCCCACCATTCAGAGGTATCAGTACTTAAGTTTATGTGCAGACTGGATACTTGGCATAATCTGTTAACAATCTTTATAGCTATAGTTATCTACAAATTTAGGGTACCAAACAGCAGAGCTGTTTGTAAACTAGACTCTGCCACCATATATGTGGGGTTTTTCAGGTCATACAATGCAAGGTCTGTGGAAACTAATCCCATAGAAACTAATGGCACATAGAGGTGGTTTGCATCTTGGATATAAAAGAACAGGGGTGACAAGAAAAATAAAAGGGAAAAGTTTACAGTGTAGATTGTGCTGTGATGTAGCTCTGGGCACACCTAAAAGTTCAGCATCCTTACATTTGTCATGCAGAAACAGGACTATCTGTGATGTGTGAGTAAAAGAGACTCAGCATAAAGCGTTAACACTGTGTTTTCCAAGCTGATGTTGTATATATACGAGCAAATAATGTTGTCTAATTGTGTTTCTGTTTTATGTCTGGGGAGAAAATGAGCTCGGAATTAGAATGCAGATACTCTGCGGCTGTTCATGTTGGGGTGGGGGTGTAGATTAATCTGGAATCTGCCACCCCTGATGGAATTGTTGCAATTGTAGGACCTTATCCTGCATTCTGCTGGACACATTGTTCCTTCCACTGTGTGCTGAATATCAGTCCCAAAAACTGCATGTTTGCTTTTGCTGGGGTAAAAGCTGCATTAACCAGCACCAATGCCTTTGCTCATACGTTGGAGTGCTGTTCAGGTAATGTGTGTGGTTGTGGAAAGTTTGCAAAAGGGGGCATGTATTCCCCAAAAGCCGGCATGGCTCTGTAATGCGCTGTGTGCTGCCATCTGTTAAGCGCGTGTTTGTGACGCAATGAAATAATCAGTGCACATTAAAGCTCACTCCAGCAGCTTCAGGACATCAATTCCTGCCTAATACTGTGCATCCCAAGGGATGCGTGTATCGGTAGTATCAGACTTTAGGAAGTCACTGATGGGAATCGTTCTTCTGGCAAATCCACTGTCAGTTGTTGCCTATCAGAAGGCATACTGTTTTGTGTGGCACTCATCTTGAAGGACGTGAGTCCCAAATAATTCCATGTCAGGGAGCTGGTCACATGAAATACCCAATATCTTAAATGACAGCTATACAGATAACTAATAATTAAGTCAGGCATATTCCTACTATGCAACTCTAAGCATTGGTAAATGTCCTGTTGTCATAAAACGGCTCAGTATACCAACACACTCAGTAGTAATTATACATCACTCAGGGGCATTATGAGCAAAGTGCCACCCACATTTATAGAAAATTCTGTTTATTATTGGGGTTTTTTTGCTTTAACAAAGAGGAAGCTAACCAAGGTAACACTAAATGGCAACACCTCAGACTATCTCTACCAGAACTGAGGAATGAAGTAGCTTCCCCTAGCTTCCCGCTTTAACTGAATGATATATCCCAAGCTTTTATCCCTTTCTTCCACAGTCAGTCCTAAAATGCACAATTTTGTGGCATTTCTATAACTCTACAGTACTTTATGGGGTGAGAGAGCATTAGGCGCTGTACAGCCCAGCTGCAGCTGCTTCCAAACAGATGCCCACTTTTTGTTTGTTTGTTTGTTTGAAGAGGAAACACTTTGCAATGTACAACCAGGGATGCATACATCTTATACACCTTACATGGTATGTCCTTAACTGTATATAACAAGCCACTTCTTACTTCATCCTCGTGCTCTGCACCCCACAGACAGTTAGCCGCTTAGTGGGCTCGGCACCATGTTTTCTTGAGTCCTGTAAGATCATCCGTCTGAACAAATTGCAAAGGAGGACTAGTCACTGGGCATGCGGAGACATGGCTGTTGTTTGTCACGTGTACGTGATTACTCTCACTTGTTTACAGGCTCTCCCTCTCTACCAGATAAGTACCGCCACTCTCGGGAGATGATGATGTTGCTGCCAACCCATCGGGACCGACCTAGCAGTGCCATGTATCCCGCAGCTATCATGGAAAATGGACAGGTAGCAGATGTACTTTCTTCTATGTTAGTTCAACCACCTGAAACTGTGACTTTATTTTCACTATTTTTGACCACTTCAAAGCTTCCCTTTCTTATTTTTGGAAAGCACAACACCTTAGGATCATTTTCAGAGGCAACGCAGAACTGTTCATATTAATTGTCCCTCAGAGCCACCCACTTCTGTAGTCAAGTGAGACAAATTGTAGCGACTGTTAAAATTGCATATGCACACTGCGAAAATGGACTTTTCTAACTTCCCAACTTTATCCTATGAGCCCTGGTCCACTGCAAGCAGTCATACCATTTTATTTATTCATTTTTCTAGAACCATGGCCACCCTGCACTCTAGCTTCAAAGATGATTCTAAATAGCTTTTTGGCGATTTCCAGAGGTATCAAAAATCACGAGAGGCTTGAAATAATATACTGTTGCAGGGTCTCCAAACAATTGGTGCCCATATCTTCCACTTTCTCTGGGCAAATTGAAAAATTCAGGGTGTGCCTGCAAACTCAATTCTTTCAAATGAAACCAAAGCAAAAGGTAAGCTCCAGAAGGGCACATGATGCATACAAGCTGATAACAGGCACACCACCAGGCTAGAGCTAGCTTGAAATAACTCCTCGAGAGAACACAAGCAGTATGAGTGTGGGTCCTTGGCGCTGTTACCCTCTAGAGAGCCACTAGTATTGCACTGCAGTATCACAGAATCACAGGATCATTAAGGTTGGAAAAGACCTTTAAGATCATCAAGTCCAACCATCAACCCAACGCCACTGTGCCCACTAAACCATGTCCTGAAGCACCACATCCATGTGTTTTTTGAACACTTCCAGAGATGGTGACTCCACCACCTCCCTGGGCAGCGTGTTCCAATGCTTGACCACTCTCTCAGTAAAGAAATTTTTCCTAATGTCTAAACCTAGATGTAGGCTCAACTTGAGGCCGTTTCTTCTCGTCCTATCACTAAAGTACTTGCTAATATAGACCAGCCTAAGGTTCAAATGTAATTTTTTTTTTTTTTTAAACATAAAAAATGTTCTTTGCCTAAAAAAGCATATAGAAAGCCCCAGGGTTCTGCACTAGCTGTTCTGTAACTTTTTTACTTTTCTGTGCTAACTTTTCTTCTCCCTTAGCCTCCAAATTTCCAGCGCGCCTTGATCCAGCAAATGATTGGACCATGCAAACCTTGCAGTGATCCCAACCTGTCTGTGGCTGAGAAAGGTACTCTTTTTTCCTAGTTAGCATGCATGCTTTCTAAAATATTATTACTCTGGTCATGCTACAGCGAGTAACAAATGGGGCTTCTACATTTCCTGACAAAGTGCATTCTCTCACATTTTTTTAATTAACAGTTAACTAACTGGGCTGTCTGCCAAGCTGTAGTCATTTCAGATCATTCACAGAAGGGTGGAGTTGCACAAACCTCTTTATTTTAGAAAGCTTTCTGAGTTTAGCATTTTGTTATTGAAACAAATCCTGCAGCCTTTCTCAAGCAAAACTTCCAAAGCAGCAAATGAGAAGTTATCTTAAAGAAGAGTTCACGATTTGGACCATATTTTTAAGTAATGAGATATACTGCTTTTTTTTAGTATGCACTTACTTGTTCAAAATATTAACGTTTCCTGTAATTCCTCTCTGAGGTAGTTTTATATTTATTGAAGTTTATCATTAGGAATGTATGCTTTTTTAACTCACTGCTTTGAAAAAAACAGGCAGGCCTCCTGCAGAAAATAACATGAAAGAAGATTAAGAGTTTGTTTGGTGTAACGGAAAAGGAGGAGCTTGCGAAAGGGGTGCCATGGACAAAGCGATAGGCTCAAAAGTGATCTGAAAGGCAGCATTTTGAAAAAGTAGATATGGGTGAAATTCATGAGTCAAAATCTGAGACGAGGAGGCTGCCTAAGCAAGCAACAATCTGTATGGCTAGGAAAAATGGTATTTTAAAAGATTTTTGAGGCCAGGAAAGACCATCGCAATTCTCTGGTCTGACCTACATAATGCACTCCATTATACTTTTACCAGTGTTGTTGTTTCAGTAGCTGTACCTGAACTAAATTGTATCTTTAAAAAAAAAAAAAAATCCAAATTTTATTTTAAAATTTCTAATAAATGAGAATACACTACTTCAACAATGTGGCAGGCTTACAAAGCAGTCCAAATTGAAACCAAAAGCCAATGTATGGTTCTGAATAAATGGCAAAATGATGATGTGGTGACGACGGAGTTAAGAGTAGGGGGCGAGGGATTAAGAGCTCAATCTTAGCTGTGTTAGTTTGAACGGAACATACCACAGAGGTGGAGAGATCTTTATACTGAATAGGAGAAAGATCTGGAAAAGGAAGGCAGATAAATATTTATTACCTGCCCAGGAAAAATACTTGAACTTGTAGTTGTGGGCGATAGAGTGCAGTATACAGTGCAAAGAGAAGGGAATCAAAGACAGAATCCTGTACAGAGGCCCAAAGGAGCCATGAAAGACACAGATCACGTTCTGTAATTGTTCTTAGGGAATGGTGTGACAGGAATCCCAGCTCTTCAGCCACGTTGGTAGCATAAATGCTACCAACAAGTTTTGGGTGTGTTTTGCGGCCCTTGAACCCTCGTCATTCTTTTTAAGTCAGAATGCTATCTGCCTTGTTTTTCTGTTAACAGTCATGCCCTGTGAATTTACCCACCCGTTTCCTTGCTGTGTCAGAAGCTCTGCACAGTAATTCTCATTGACACCAGTGTGACATCAATTGCCCAGAGCAGAATGGTTCAAATGCAGCTTCCCTGCCAACTGAACTTGGCCACCGAGCCCCTGAACACTGTTCTGGAGAGAGAGATGGGCTAGGACAGAGCACTAGGGGCTCCCTGGGTGGGTTCCTCCCTGAAGCGTTTTGGATAAAACACCGGGTTTAATAGGCAGCAGCCACTGCTCATCTAGCCTCAGGGTGATTTCCAGCACTCCTAACTACCCACAAGGCTGTGAATGAGGGAACGCTGAGAAAGTATAAATGGACTATGCACTGGGGTACCATGTTCTCTTCTCCACGTTCTTCTACTACATCTCGGTGTTCAAAAAAAAACCAGAACACGAACAAAGACAGCAAATCATTTTACAGGCCAAGCAAATCAGGTTTTATTCTGTCCTTTTCACTTGATGCTGGTATACTGCAGTAGAGACACGTTATGCATCCTGTCCCTCCATTTTAGCCTTTTGACACTAATTACAGTAGAGCAAAGTAGAGCACTCTGGTATGTGTACAGCATGAGCAGGGATGCTCAGAAAATTCATCTGAAGCCACACTACCTGTGTTGAGATGTAGCCCTTTGTTTGAACTTGTTCTCTGTCAAGATTCTTCGTACGTTCTTTGTATGCCTTTCTCAGTTTGAGGGTGTCTCTTCAAAAACAACATTTACTTTTATATTTTCATGGGTTTTGTTCCATCTTATGAAGCTGTCACTTTGTGATCTTTTTTACTTCAGGGAATTTTAGGTCTTGGGGAGCCTGTGTTCATGCTAACTCATGAACTAAGGAGGGAAAAGAAAAACAAGAAACCTTTCCAAAGTCATTTTAGAAAAAAAAGGCACCAAAAACGGCTGCAGGCATTTTAATTAAGGAGAAATCCTCTTCAGATGTCAAACTCCACGTTTATTTCTCCAGGCTTCCATTTTCCAAACTGAAGATGGAAAAAGCTATTTTTATCTCAGTTTTCATTGGTAGGCTCACTGAATTACTTTGTTTTCCTTTTTTCTTTCCTAATCTGAAGTCATTGCTCGTTTGTTTTTAAATAAACATACACTTACTGCAAGTCTGTCTTCTCAGAATGAATCAAGTCTTGCCATGTGTGTGGAAGAAAGGAGGGTGCATTTTAATAATGGTTAAGGTTGACAGAATTCTCAAGATCTTAAAAAATGTTCATGTTAGAAAGAAGCAGCTTTTACTTCTATGAAAAAGCAAAGTCACAAAGACCATACTCTCTCTATCCTTCCTGATTAACAAAGACGTGATCTCTTCAGCTCTTCAGGTGACTTTAGAATACAAGGAGTCCAAACTGCTGTCATTAAATATTTTGTCAACTCTGTAGCTTAGTAAATTGGGGCTTTAAAGTTGTGATTTCTTTGTAACAGATTGAGGTGTAATTTCCCTCATGTCCTTTATTCAGTCTTCACTTAGCCACTGTAGTGCAGCAACAGACCTTCCTGTGTTTCATGAGGGTTCTGCCACACTTTCCCTTCTGCTCTGTCATCTTTTACCACCAAGCAAAACAGCTCACAACTGAGATCTGCCATTCCAGCAGTGAGATTTCATTTTTACTTACTCACTGCTTTGCCAAAAAAAAAAAAAAAAACCACACACCACACACACAAAAAAAACACCAAACCACCAACAAAACCCACCCACAAACCAACCCACCCAAACCCTAGCAGAGTTCTACTGCTCTTCAGAATTGCTAGAAATGAGCCCAGGGGATCACAGAGGGAAGATGGGCAGACTAACACAACACTATGACCACCTAACTCTCGCTTCCTTAAAGCAACCTATAAATTTAACGCACTGTAGACTAGACGATGTCTTCGTACGCCTTCCATCCTACCATTCACCAGGTCCCTAGAATCTGTCTCTTTACTGCTAAAGAGCGCACCAGAAAGCTACTCCTTCTGGCCTCACAAGCTCCCTTTTATGTTACCCAAGATAAATGTGTTTCAATCCTTCAGCTGTGCCAGCAGCACCCAGTAGCTGGAGCCTAGACAGCGGAACCAGAGAGGCCCTGCCATTCCTGTCTGCCCACGTTGGGAGCATCTTGGCCCCACCAGTACCTCCCCGAAGCCTGCCCCATGGTAAGGAAAGGCCCAGTAGGCCTGCTGCATAATGCCTGCAGTCATGCACAGATAAATCTCGAGCACCTGAAAGCTGACCTTAGCCTTTTTTCCTCCCACTATAAAAACAATCAGAAACAAAAACCCCAAAGTCTTTCCTGGTCTGCTAGGTTAGCACTGGACAAAGTTTTCAATTTTTTTTCCAAAATATTCATTTTTTTACAGTCCTTATAGTAATATGGACTTGGGGGTATTTTGGGACTGGAATTAGGTGTGTGAATGTTGAGGCTTGGTCTGATTTCTTGCCCATGACCATCTTCAGCTGTAATTTAAAGTTACAAAGCTATTAAATGAAACTTCAAATGTTCATTGTTTATGAGCCTGTTGCCTTGCCATGAGATCCTTGATAAAAGGGGTGGGTGGTTAAGCTGTACTTAACTTCTCGCTAGCAGAGTGGAGTTACCAGCAGTTGGAGCTGTTACCTGGTATTAGAGAGTCTAAAAGCCCAGCTCTTTCGCTGCAGTGAGGGAGCACAAGTCTGCGTTTCTGATCCTTGTCTCATTCCAGGACACTACTCACTGCACTTTGATGCCTTCCATCATCAGCTCAGTGATGTTCCTCCGGCACTGCCTGCACGAACATTGCGCAAGGTAAAAAGGAAGCGGCAGGAGAGCAGAGAGGGATGTAGCAGCAAAAGAACAGGCTCTTGAAGGAACCCCACTTCTTCACTCCCACCAAGCAGCTTTTGTGTACAGAAATGCTATTTTTAACATACTAGCAACTTACACCTGAGAAAATCCACTGAAAGCTCATAAACTATGACAGAGTTGAATTCTATAGAACTTACTTAGACGTGTTGTAGGCCCTTCCACTCTCCTTCTTTGCATCATATGCTGTGATTTCAGGCACCCTGCTTAATACCTCAACTACTGTTTCTTTAAGAGCTCTAGTGTGGTTAAGTGCACTTGTCTGCACAGAAGAGGTACTTCCATACAAGTCAGAGGAGTGCAGATACAAACCAATAATCAATCATTGACATTTTAAACACAAATGGAACTGCACTGACAGTTAACATCACTGTCAAAAGCTGCAATGTGGAACACCACACAAGACGCAGTGTTGCCTGCTTTTTCAATTTTAACCTGGTTTTGTTCTTCTCCCAACAGTCTCCTCTTCATCCTATTCCTGCATCACCCACCAGTCCACAGTCTGGTCTAGACGGAAGTAACTCCACTTTATCCGGCAGTGCCAGCAGTGGCGTCTCTTCCCTGAGTGAGAGTAATTTTGGACATTCTTCTGAACCACCTCCTCGCACAGACACCATGGATTCTGTCCCCAGCCAGGCCTGGAACACTGATGAAGATCTAGAGACACCCTACCTCCCTGTCAGGTACAGTCTCTCTGAGCCTGATGTCCTCGAGTCGCTCAAATCCCAGCCATGCCGAAGCCACTCTGCTCCATCCGGAGTCATCCCTCAGGACACCATGGACCCTCCTGCTCTACCCCCCAAACCTTACCACTCCCGGCTGCCAAACGTGGAGAGCGAGGAGGGGGTGATAACTGAAGATGATGACAAACACCGCCCATTGCATCGTAAAGTGTCCCAACCAGTGAGCGGTGGAAAGGAAGAGCAGGCCAGAGTAGCATGGGAGCATGGCATCAGTGAGCAGTAGGGACAACTCCTGGTAAGCAGCTTGCGTCATCATTCCAGGTCTGACTACAAAGGAGAGAGAGAGAGATAAGGACTCGGAGAACAGCAAACCGATTTTCTACTGCCGCAAGTTTATGTCTGGAGCCCACAAAAGCACTTGGGCCAGCATGGGAGGTTGCTGCTTTCCTTTTTAATTTCTTTTTACACCTTTCTGTTAATGTTTTTTAACTTTCTGTGCAGTGGACAGTTTATTCCTTCTGCAGTTTCTTAACCACATGATATGGCACACAAGCCGTAGAGACTTGCAGAAGCTGAAAAATAAAATTTTAAGCAGAGGGGGGAAAAAGGGGGGAATGCAGCAAGCTGATTTGGAAACTACTTTCCTCCCAGTTCTGAGACGCACATGAGTAGAAGCAGTTGCACTAGGGACATATTTCTTTGCTGTACAGAAGTGAAAGCTCATTGCTGAAATCAGGGATTTCATGAACTGTCAGGCTGGAAGGTGCATGAGCTGCAGGCAGTGGAAAGACGGCAATTCCAAGAAGAAATTGGCTCTTTTGAGAGCAGGATTGTACATATCTGTGCAGTGATCTCCCTGCATTGGTTCATAGGTGCTGAGGCAATCTAACCCAGTGCTAATGCACTGATTTCCAAGATACCATTTCCAACAAACTCTGCCTCCTTTGTTTTTTTATGTACGGTTTGATTTCTTAGATTTTGCTTTCACTGGCTAAACCAATCTGCTTTCTCATTGGAATCATGCTATTCATCTGTGCTGCAGGATGAGAGAAGGTTAGTAGCCATTGGAGCTGCAACCTAGTTGTAGGCCTTTCCTATGCCCAACTTTGGGCAGGCTGTTGACACCAGCATTTCTATTCCAGTTTAAAAAAAATAAACCCCACAACGAAAAACAAACCAACCACAAAAAAAACCCACACACAACCAAATTGTTTTTCATACCACAGCAGGTTGATGACCCAGCCAGTAAAGAAAAGGTGGCTTAAATGCATCATATCTAACAATCCTTGCCTCAGGGCTGAACATCACAATTCTCACCAACTTCCATCACCCAGGAGCTGAGACTCATTCCCTGTTAACATAACATCCTCAGTCCCTCCCAAAAACTCACTGCAGCTGGTGTGCAGAAAGAATCTCCATCTCTCACAGTAGACAGAAAACACTTAAATGCCCAGTATATAGTGTACACCCTAGAGTCAGGGATCTTAAAGGCAACCTGTAAACCTGTAAAGAAGAAATGTTTGTTTCCTCTTTTGTTTCTTTAGAATGTACAAAGAAGCTTTAAGAGCTGCTGCTTTTTTCTTCTGGAAGGTTGGTTTCTTTTCTTTTCTCTTCAGGCAGCAATACAGCCTTCCCTCCCACACTTTATTTTTCTTTTTTTAATTGACCAGCTCCAGAAAGGGCTGAAGATTGTTTAAAAAAAACCAAACACAAACCCAAGAAACAGAACAATGCAGAGGTGAAGACAGTACAAGTCTATGAACACAAAACAAGCCTTTTAATCAGTATTTGCTTAGTTCAGTACATGACAAACCAGGAAAAAATTCTGTGGGTAATAAAGCCCGGATCTGTTCTTCGAAAAGAACAGTAAGAAATATTTTATTCCTATTTTCAACGTTTTTCAAGAAACCTTCAATCAAGAGAGTATCACATATTTAATGTTTTTAGCTAAATAAGCAATGTTCCTTCCCCCTGCCATGCCCACACACATTTTAGCCTTCCTTGTAACCCTTTCTTTCCACTAGCAGATTGCAAAGCACACTCCAGAGGATGGTAACAGACTACCCTCATTCTTACCACTTAAAAACCTGAAGCACATTCAAATAAGAGACTGACTTACCTCCACCAGATAAATTAGTGTCAGAAACAGGAACAGCACTCAACTTTCGTATTAAATTCTTGCCCTAACCACTCTGTCTGTAGCATGAGAAACAGCATAAAGAAGCAAAAAAGGATATTACAAATCTTTTACAGGTCACCTTTAGTACTACCTCTAAATAAGTGACTGGGCAGAGTACATTGCTTCTGAACTCTTCTAAAGATGGTCTGTCTGGACTCAGTGGTTCTATGAAGGGGATTTTAAGAGGAATTATGTCTTTTCTTTCTCAAGCTCTAGCCCATACAAAACTACTAAGCTATGGATTTGTTTCTTAAATGGCCTGTTGGTCTGGAACAAAGTCTCTCTTGCTTCCTCTATTTTGTTACTAACACAGGCTGCTTGTAATCATTCTATCCTTCACAATTAAGACAATGATAAAATAAAACCTGGCCTATAGCGGACATTTCATCTGTAGCAGGAAGGAGCGTTTTTCAATACTAGGACAGTTAGTGAACCAAGATGGATCTCTGGTAGAGAACACATGTACAAAAACTCAACTCAAAACTATGTTTTTGGTAAAGGTAAGTCAAGGTAATTCCTTAGAAATGAGTGAAATATTTTCACCTATGCTATTCTCCAATATGACTGAGAGTCCTTAAGTTTTAAGAGAATGAAGTATTCAATTCCATCTCCCTTGCCCCTTTTTTTTCTGCAGGAAGATTAAAAGTGGTAAGTGTACTGACTTACTGAACTTTCTTATTGTAAAAAACAGCAGGTTTTGAAAATAAAACTTTGCAAAAACAAGAATGCAACTAACATGGGACTGAGTCCCAGTCAGCTGGGAAACCTGCCCACTGGAGCTCTAATCAGTCTCTCAAAAACCTATCATCCTGCTCTGATTAGAGGCCATGTACAACAGCAGTGAATCCATTTCAGGAGGCTGACATTACTATGTATTTGTAAGGGTTTGAAGATCAATTAGATGATGTATACAATACCCAGTTTATGGCAGGTCCGCCCAGAGAAGGATGGAATAAGCTGCTGAATTTACCAAATTTAAGCCTCTCTGGAGTTAAATGTCTGTTACTGTTCTGATATCTACCAAGTATTCTGTCTCCCTTTTCAGTACTTGCCTAAAAGGAGGCAGGAGATAGACAGACTATTATTAAAATTAAGATTTTGTGAATGTTGGAACTAATACTTCTCTGTAGGGTGGGGTGTCCTATAGCATAGTACAACTCCAACATCAAGCTCAGTCCTGGAGTAGGTGGAAGCAACAGCAGTTGTTGCACTTGCCCAGCAGGATTTGAAGATTCCTCGTATAAACCACAGCAACAGGATGTTTTGAACAGGACCTTGTCATTCTATACTTAAACTCTAATTCAAACTGAATATGTACTTGCCTTCAGTGGGTTTTCTTTGCGTAACAAAATAGCATGTGCATTCCCAAGAAAATGAGTGGAATTCTGCTATAAATCTCTCCATCATTAGTACACCTGCTGGCCCCATCTGAAACAAAATTGAGAAGGAACTACAGTAGTAGAAAAAAAAGCAGTTAAAAGTTCTCTGAATCGTACAAATTTTTTTTTCAATGGTTGGGTTGGTTTTATTACTGTGTGCAAGACTAAGATTCTTGTCTGTCTTTTCCTCTGTTTGCTTTTGAGCTTACTTACCCTTTTTTAGGTAAGGGATATTGCATATCCCTTCTGTGGGAGAATCAGCCAAAACTGGGGAGGCTGGAGAGAGCAAGAGCCTTTGGGAAACAAATTATGTGATATTTAAAATTTCCTCTGATCATGCTTCTTTGTAAATATCCCCATTTGAATGCTGTGTATTTGTACAGGAAATTGAGCAAAAAATGTATAGATTGTGATGTCTGACTGGTATTCTGCCCTGTAAATGTGTTTTTAACCTCTGGCATTCTGTGCTTATTTAAAAAAAGGCAAAAACCTCTAACCACTTCTCTTTTGTGTATTCATGTTTAAAATAAAATGAAAACAGCTCTCTTATCTATAATGAAAGTCAAATTTAAAAGGAAGAAAATAATTTGTACAAGTGTCTTAAAGGTACTTCATTGTATATATTGTGATAGCATGTTTCCAGAACCAACAAATAAGTGGTGTGAATTTTAGATGTAAATATCTACTGTTTGTTTTGGGTTTCTTTCCCCTTACCCATTCACTCAACTGCTGTGATGTGGAATTAAAGATTAATACCTGATATTAAAATGGCACAGCTGTATGTTCATTGCTGTCCTCCACACAGGGTTTTCCTCAGGCTTCTCCAAACTTTCATGAGGTATGCAGAAAGAGCCTGTGCTTCCCAGTTCTGTGTGAATGAGGAAAATGGGGGGCAACCAAAAGGACCTTGTGGCTATTATGTGTGGTGAGGGAACAGCTTCCCCATTGTTCTCTTAAGCTGACAGTACACTATTTTTTAGTATCAGCTTCTTAAAGCAAGCATCATGCATAGCCACCAGCTAGTCTAGTCAGGCAGATTTATATGACACGTGCAGCAGCCCAAGACATCTGCTTGTCTATCCCAAGCTTTAATACACAGCTTTGAGCCAGCGCTTTCAAAGACCAACTGAATCAGTGATGAGTTCCTCCCATATCCTCCCATAGGTTCCTCACTGTATAGATTGATGAGTGATGGCTTTTTTCAGTTCTTTTACTGCAATAGCAAGACATTGGGGCAGTGATTTCATGTTTCAAGTATTTAAATACCAATCATTTTTAAAAAACAGCTGTGAAAGAATAGTAAAAGACATTGTAGGAACAGAGGATTTGGGAATTAAGAGCTACAGTGACTTCTACATGCAAGTAATCACAAAGATGTGCGTTTTCTTCCATTACCACTAATAAACCAGGTCAAGGAGCAGGAGGCAGAAAAAGTAACCCATTTCTCCCATTGTGTCTTGATGAACCAATGAAAAAATTTTAATAAATGTCATTTAGCAGTAAAATATAAGCTGGCCCTAGGGTGTACAGAGACTGCCAACCCACCCTTTTCGTTAAGTACTTATCACACACAAATGCTAAGAGAGGTACTCCAACAAGGTACTTCAAAGTGCATCTAAAATATCACAATGTGGCTCAGCTGAAGTGTTCACCTGACACCTGAAGAACATCTGTATAAATCAGACCCTTTGAGACTGTTCCAAGCCCAACTTAACTAAGATTTGC